AAAAGGGCCACAACACAAAATAAAGTAAGGTGGCAGTAAGCATACACTGTTGACCAGTCTATATTATAACGGGCGTGTACGTTTATACAAAAGTTCCCTAACATTTCACACATTGAACGGAGCATTCCGAATTAGCGGTCATGACGCATGCGCAGTATTTTTTTTTAAACTAAACTTTTTTTCTTGTTTGCAAATACCATGTTATAAATATAAGATTTTTTTTAAAAAGTTTATTTTGCGTACAAAGAGAAAACGCTACAGGATTCTAGGTATACTGTCAGTTTGTGAGGCTATTTCTTTAACCATTTATGCTACCAGTCGTATTACATTGATTTGACTAGATATTGGTTAAAGTAAAACAACACAATTTCTAAGAGACATCATAGTAGTAATTTTAAGAAGATTCTCAGAGACAATTCTAGAGACCACCTCCCACCTAATTCGCAATTTTTAAGGACAGTGTGACCCCAGTGGTAATATTTGTTGTGTATTTGAAATTAGAGAGCAGTGAAAACCTTGTTCTGTACCTTGAAAATAGAAAAGATACATTTTTAGCACTACTGTTTATTCGAAAATTATTGTGAAATTGTCTTGTTGGGGAACGTCAATACTAGACGACACAATTAACAAACAATTGTATGACATGACATGTACAAATCTCTCTTAATTTGATAACTAATTACGGGAATGAGGCTGTAAGTTTAAGAAAATATATGCATTTAGGTATCAATCCAAGTCCGTAATAAACGTTGTTTAATAATATTTACTGGTAAATATACATACAACTTGTGTTTTATAACGAAGCCTATTGTAACGTTAGAATGATGCATTGCGGGTATAATATACTATTAACTGTGTTTCTATGCGTGCTCAATAAGAGTATCTAGGTGTATCTAGGTGTATCTAGGTTTCTAGGTGTCGCGTGTGGTAAATAATAAGATGTGTATGACAGGTGTGTGGGAAATTCATGTGTTAAAGTATTAAGTACTGGTACCGTGACTCAGAAAAAAAAACTATGTTGCTATTTTGAAAAACGGGTTCACGTGCAGGAAACATGCGACATGCGATGATATGATACTAACAAACTAATACAATTCAAATGAGAAAATTAACGGTTATGGCACTTGATCGTACTCCTCGTTTCTTTTCCGTAATTTTGAAAATTGTGAAAAGGCTTAGCTAACTTTTGACCACATGGTACAGTTCTCGGAATCTCACAACAGAAATAAAGACCAAATGAACATTTATACGGGCGGGCATGGTTTTGACATGTTTTTTGGAAGACAGTAAGAATTGAATTTCACACAATGGGGTCGTTGGTGTCTATAGTAAACATTCGTTGTAATTACTGTAATATAAATTGATAAAGTGATATAAATTAAGAGTTAGTTGGTTTATTGGTTAGTTGAAGAAATGTTTTTTATTTATTTATTGCCCAGACGTTGCCATAGAAAAATAAATGTCAGCCAGTTTCGCCAATTTACCAACATCTGGACAGGTTGTCGTTTTATTATTTTTGATCTAAATAATCTTCGTCATATTGGTTGTTTGGTTTATCGAGAAACTGAACGGTCTACAATGTGTAATGAACATTTTTCAACATATTTATCATCACTTGTAGTAAGCAGTATTAGAAGTGGAATTATTTATGCGATATGTACTGGTAAAAAATTGAAAATGAAACACAAAACAGACATCGTTTGATGATATGAGACTGGTCATAGACAACTGGGTACTATTGCACTTGGCCGGCTTTTCTGGGACACTGAATCAAATATCTGATCTTGTTTATGTCCGTTATACCATACAGATTTACTGGCATTTAATTTCACTATTTTGATGTTTTGAGCAATTCCAATGGCGTTCACGAACTTGACAGGCAAACGATGAGTTCTATCGTTATTCTACAAAATTGGTTCCCAATGTATATTTATTGTATTTTTCATTATCAACCGTCATACCTTGTTCATTCCCGTTATTAACCTATTTGCCTCGCCTCTATGCCGTGTTTATAGCGCCACTCTTGTATTACGCAGCAAGTATGTGAGGATACAACTACAAAGTAAGGCTATAAAGCACTGAAACACTTCAACTGAACTATCAAAGTAAGGTTATGTCCCCATGAAAAATGCAATAATGAGTGCAACTTCCTCCTCAAGACCCAGAACTCAAACTCCCTTTCGTTAGATGATCCACGTCATGAACTACAAAACAGCTAGCTATGCTAGCATGTGAGTGGTGAAGACATTCTGCAAGTGGCCCATGATTATGTATACGTATCCCAGTCGTTTTTTCCAGCTCGTTGCTCCGCTGTTTATCTTCACAAAACGGTCTCACAGCATATTTAAGTAGCAATGATCACTCCAGGTAGAGTGTTCGTGGCTATGGCCGTAAATGTGTTTGTTGACCTGGAAAGGCTTGCAGGACACGTGTGACATGTCCGTAAAGTTGCAGGTATCGGCTATATGACCTTTATAATGTTAACATGCACACACGCTCGCACACCCATACACGAACATGAATTAGTGTTTTTCACACACAAAAAAAGTAGAAAGTAAATTTCGGACTTTATAGAAAGAAATTATATCAAATTCAAGTTAGAAACTGAGAATATATGGTAACATTTATCGGCATATTTGAGTTAAACATTAACACTAAATATAGTTTACACGCAAAAGCACTTGTAAAAATAGAATATGTAAATAGCATGCGAAAACAATTTCAACTTCAATATGCAACACAGAAAGAAAAATATTCATTAGAAAAGAAATTCCACGTTTGCGTATCTTGTAACTAGTGAACTAATTGTTGTCTTTCATTTGTGTTAATTTGCATATCGCGTCAACCATATTACGAAAGTTATTCTTTAACGTGTTCATAATGACATTGTTGTCTTTACATAGTAAAAAGGACATTCACTATATCTGAAGACAACTGGATTTGTAATTCGCCTGCTTTTTCTTCTTGTTTTTACTTATTTTTCATGACAAATTAATTTGGGTCAATTATTATTTTTTATTATTTTCAGCTAGATGTTGTGGGGATGATTTCTAAAACATTGCCACGGTACATTGCCAAGCAGACCAGAATTGACATCGTTTGCCACACCATTCTTCTCCCAGTAGTATTGTTTAAACTGTCAACGCCAAATATAACGTGCCGTCACCAACAGTCAACAAATGCTATCTTACTTGACTATGTCGTCTGGTTTTAGATACAGTCATGGACGCCACGTTCATGACGAGTTCCAAATTTAAATTATAATATTTCGTGATTAAAGTATGCACCAATACTAATTTATTACACATCCATCTATTCGGTGTAAGGAAACTGGTTAACTGAAGTAAAGGCTAGAGAGTTCACGACATCTAACACGAAGTCTCTAGGTACCACTTGTCATGGATGCGACATTTTATGTACCTAGTATTGGTTAAACATTATACGGGCTGTTCCGCTTCCGTCTAAAGGGAGGTTTACAAGCAACACGCCGAACAGCGCATCGGGAAACTCGGCGACAGTAACGGCTGATAACTTCGGTGAGTGACAGGCGACTAGCTACCTGAAAACCGACATATTATTTTTTTCCAGGCGACGGTTTCTTGCCCAATTTAGCGATGCGGATATGAAATACACACGGACCAACGATGAGACATCGTATAACTTGCTCAGTACGTTGCCTCATGATTTGCCTTAAAATATTGGTGCATAAACTACTTTAATATTGTGTTGACTTATTTAATCCATTGTTGCATTATAAAATTTGAATAAAACTAGTTTTAATATTTGCTATGGGGAATGCAGTGATCTGATCACTTAACCAGTTTCAAATAATGTATACAGTTCCGTCTTGGCTTCAAATTGAACAATTATAGCTTCTCTGGTCGAATATGGGCACGAAATAAGAAAATACCGTACAATTGGAAGTGTTGTTATGTTTCGCCATGCGTCATACATTGCATCACAATACTTACTTACACATTGAACGTGGAAATTTGAAATCAGAATTACGATAAACGTTTCATAAGATGAACATTTCTCCCGAGAAATAAGCCTAATAATTAGTTGTGTGTAAGGCGGTAGCAATAATAAATTCGAATAGATATATAGGAAATCTTACTAGCATATCAAAACTAAACAATTAAGTAATATAAGCGAACAAGAAAAGTTGAAGGATGCACTAAGACAAAACAGCATTTGAACGAAAAAGCGCTGCAACGAAAAGACAATGGCTGGGACAAAATGGCCTAGGAACGAATCGACACTCCTCTCAAATAAAACTACAACGAAACCCATATTATTGTCTAAACGTTTTCATACGGCCAGAATATATATCAATATTTTAAAAATACAAAAGAACATTCAATTATTGAAATATTTATATCAATTTAAAATGTAATAAAGAACATAATAAATATTGTAAACGAATTGATTATTCAGTGCGTTTTAATTCTGTTATCTTCGCCGATGAATAACATTCACTAAATATAATCCACGTGAAAATTGTTTCTCTGGCAAATTTGTGAACTAAAAATTCAGTGACTGTATTCAAAACATCTAAATAGTAAAATCAACTGCTAGAGAAAATACATGGTTTCACTGTAATTACACATTGGTTTTGATATTAGACAAATGATTGTGATATACGAGAAAACAAATGCCTTTTTAGAAGGTGCATACATTATCACATTTCAATATTACAAATTAACGGCTACAAATGCCAGTTATTTTCCTATTTTAATACGCGTTTATATGACTTTTATCAATTTAACGTATAACGTCCATCATTGCATTTTGAAATTGAAATGAATTGGTCAAATTCATTGACGCCCATACTAGTATATAGAATAAAGTAATGTATGAGGGCTATCGCGTGCAATGTGAATGTATCGGAAGTGGTCAATAACGTTTAATTGTGAATAAAAAGGTGCGAAATGGCGACTACAATGAAAACTGTTATCAGTGTTTACATTAAATATTCATTACATTAAACCGAGCAACAGTTACTTTAAAAAATGTGTTATGCTTGCCTGCCGTTGTTTCCTACTTTGGATTGTTTTACAACAATCAATAAGTCCCTTTAACTGCATCAACTTCAAACCATCAATGTCGTTACCAGTGGCCGATTCAAAAAACTCTAATGCAGTTTCTAGTCCTTTTATTGCGTCTGTTGAAGTTGGAGGAGGTTCCATGTTTTCCTTGTCTGTTTCCTCTTCATCGTCGGACGGTATTGGTGTTTCACAGCCACTGATCAGAGCTGCAATGCCCCCATCAGATAAAAGTTCAAACGTGGGAATATCGTTGTCAGCAGTAATCCAATCCATTAATGTATTCTCGGTATAGTCCGTGGCCAAACCATTTGAAGCGGCAGTGTCGATCAGCTGCGAAACAGATTCCTGTTCGGGGTTATTGACGACCTCGTCATTGGTGGACGGTTCTATGCTAAAAGCAGGTCCAAGTCCTTTCATCCAGCACTTCTCAATTGACTCCGATTTAACTTGTCTCCATGCCTTTGCAGTTATGTAACACGTGTCTTTGATCGTGTAGGATTTCAAGCCCGTGTTCAGTGATGAATACTCTGGATCCAGCAAAAGTTGCAACAGTAGTTCGCGGCGATAATTTGCTTTGAATGATCGGATAATGCCTTGATCCATTGGCTGAATTTTACTGGTTGTGTTTTTCGGCAAAAACAATGCTTTAATTTTCCCATCTCGTATTACTAGGGCATCTTCACGTGGGTGAGCTGGGCACTGATCTAAAAGCAGCAATGCTTTCGATTCAAGTCCGTGCGATGACAAGTGGCGACGTACACTTGGGACGAAATGGTTAAAAAACCAGTCCTTGAACAAAAACTTGTCATCCACGCGTTTCCAGAAGCCATATACACAATCGGCAAATTGTCAGTGTTCACATGATGAAAACAGCGTGGTCGAAGACTTTTTCCAATCACAAGGGGTTTAAGTTTGTGACTGCCGGTCTTATTAGCAGTGAACATGACAGTAATCCGCTGTTTATTTTGTTTGTGTCCAACGTTCTGTGAGTTACTTGCCGATGCCTGCGTCTTGGATGGCAACATTTTCCAAAATAAACCTGCTTCGTCAGCATTATAAATTTGTTCCTCTGAGTAACCACCAGCTTCGATAATTTCTTTCAATTTTCTTGGAAAGTTTCTTGCAGCCTCAATATCCGCTGATCTAGCCTCCCCTTGTACAGAAATTTCATGGACAGCGTGTCTATTTTGCCAACGCCAGAACCACCCAGCGCTGGCCTCAAAGTCGAAGTCCTGTCCTCGCAATTGTTTAGCCAGGATGCGAGCCTTCTCCCGTATGATAGGACCAGACAGTGGCGTTCCTGCAGATCTTCCTTGAATAAACCATACATATACAGCTTTATCGATGTCTTCATTGGATGCCAGTTTAGCTCGTTTTCGTTTAAGTCCAGATTCCTGGTCCACATCGAAAATGAACTTTCTCAGCTTAGTTTCGTCTTTCACCCATCCGCGAATAGTGGACTCACCTACGCCGAGGTCACGTGCAATCTTCGCCTTGGTTTCACCTTTCCTTACTCGGTCGATCGCTGCAAGTTTATCTCTCACGGAAACGCTTGTTAACTTTCGTTTAGACATACTGCTCAGTTGAAAACTTGAGATCAGAATGAAGCCAGTGGCTGTTTCAGTGAGTTTTTAAACATGTTCATCAAAGTAAACCCGAAAATGGTGTTTATTTCTGGACTGATAGCCGATCACACTTTCACACCTAGCCATTGTTTATGTTCACTCGTTGGCCGCGTACTCGCGGTGTGTACCGGGCATACCTTTGAAATACGGTGCTAATTGATGGCACTGTTTGTAATCATAGTCGGCATGCTTTTATCATTGCCGATTTTACAGCTGTTTAAAACTTCGCACATTTATGAATAAAAACAAACAGACTCATGCACAAAGATGTACTATGATTTTGGGAGCCATGGTGATACCCGCGACTTAGCCGGGACCGCGAGTTAGCGAGGCGCGAGTTAGCGAGGGGCCACTGTATTTAGATATTTCAAGAAAACATGTTTCAAAATCCGGTTATAGAACGGAAGTACAACTAACCAGTCATGAGCTGTGCATTATCGTCGTGTGGCCGACAGTATTTTCGCTGAGCGACCTCACTATGCCTTGCTTTGTTCCGTCACTTACGTTCAGAGTAACCGCACAACATTTAATTTGGACATTACAAACAGGAAATTGCTAGTGTGATTCTAATATAATATGATAATTTAGTGCTACCAGGGTCACAGTATCGCAAATGAATTGTTTTAAAGATCTGCCTGAAGTTCTGTCATCTTTGCGAGGTTCTTGAGCACTTCCGAGTCGATCGCTTGAATACTTTCTATTCTGCTTGTTTAGTTATTTGTTTCATAAATGACTAGCAATGAATGCTCATAGAATTATTAGAGATTTACGACCTATCCTTCCTCCTAGCAATGTTTTGATTACTAGTATTCTTGTAGTTTAAGATGTACTTGATTATTCTGGCTGCTGCTCCAACTGTATGTATAACTTATCTATTTCTGTTCCATCAGGCGCCCTCTATCGTCAGCAATTATCTTTTTTCTGCGTGAAATCCAACGTCGTTCATATGAAATATGTTGTACAAGAATTTGATAGGGAATTTCCAACTTCTCGAGAGATCTCTCTTCACAAATTTAGAATCTTGTGACAAAGATATTTTCTGCTATTCTTGGCGAGCGAGAGTAATTACTGGCGATATTTCCAATTTCTCATCGTGATCTGTGCTCAAAAACGTCTTAATGTCGTGTCACATGTGCATAGGGCTCGCACAACTTGACGAATGAATGAATTGATAGCGGTCGGTTGAAGAAGTTTTTTAAAAAACAGTTAAATGCAAGCTCGTAAATTCGTTATTATGTGTCGTTCTTAGTCATTGTTTTGTGTTTCAATAAAGTACTAGTTACGACCATGGGCAATGTGTATTGCGTTTGAATGAATTGCGTGATGCGGGTAGAGCGTGCGATAAATATCAAGAATAGAACAATAATATGTGCACTTACGCAGTTCATTTGACAGTGGCTTTTTACATATTAAATGTATTGCAGGTAGAGTATCCTAATTACATACATCTGTACTACCAGTAATCTAAAATTTAACGTTTCGAATAATAAAACATTTTTTCAAACAAATAAAAAAATAATGTTAGATTTGTAAAAAGAAAAAATATACCAGTCCACTTTTTGTAAACAAAATTTTGCAATCGTGGCTCACTGTTTAAAATTAATTTTTATAAACAAATTATCACTCTGTGATACAAGTATGTACTTTACCTCGAAAAACACTATCTTATGACGCGCTCATTTGACGATTCACGCGTGATCTACAGGGCACTAAAATATTAGGACAAAAAATAGGTTTTGCTTTTATCGTCGCGCGTCTCATTTTGAAACCTTTGCCTCACGCATTTTTTGCAATTTTGCATGTTTTTGTTGTTCCAAATCAACTTTCAATGCATGTATTTGAAACTTACAATATATATCTTGTTGTTGTGTTGTTGTGTTTAATATTAATAATAAAAATAATAAAACCGTGTCACCGCATCACTTTTCAATTTTTTTATTTTTGCCTTGCTAACGCAGATCATTGTAATCAATATTGAACATTCACTTGCTTAGAATGGTCATTGTTCTTTTGAATAATTTTAATATGACTGTCTGTGTGTATTCTGTTTGCACTTCGACCATTGCATGTATTCTGTTTATTTAGTTGAAGTAATTCATTGTGCATTGATGAATAGTTATTGAACGTGGTACATTATCTCTAGAACTATTTGGAAGATAATGACAGATATATCGTCTATTTATAACCCCACCCCTTCTAGCGCCCTCTGCCATCATCCATAATCATATTTCATGAATGAAGTGTAATGCTCCCTGTATTGTTTTATTTATTCTTGTAAAGCAATAGTACTTGCATGTTTGGGGTATTTGGAAATGTTGTCTATGTTATTTCCAGCTGTTCAAATAATTCTTAACGACGACAAAGTTTGTGCCACCTCGTTCAGTATTTGGTACACCATTACCTTTCTGAATAACATATTCAGCGTAGTTTGCTTGTAGTATTGTTATGAGATATGTTATGTTTGAAAAATAATTGACGATATTTCCGCAAGAAGGAAGTTAAGGACGTGACAAAAGACGTTTTTCTGTATTTTTATAGCAAGGGGTAATTTATACTAATTCTGACTGAATTCTGAATTCAAAACGTCATTGTCGCCAACACATTCCTGGAAAGAGTCACACGTGACGAATGTTTAAATGTTGATAGCGGCCATTATTTTAGCTGTGTCATGATAAAAGCAATCAGTCGCACGCGAATTCCCCCATAATGTATTCATGAGGGAGGCTTCCATTATGAATCAGTGCTGGTGATCAGTATCGGACCATAATAGAGAGCCTCCAGTACTGGACCAGAATTATTGTACTTGATTGAATGATTTGATTGATTGTTCAGATCAGGGGACAAGCGTGCAAAAGAATCATGTGCTGGAGATCTGTCCTGGACAATTATGGAGTGCAAAGATTATGGTTTAGTGCTGGACACGTATTATAATTATGCATTTACTTTCCAATCTTATGAATGAGGCATACAAACGAACCTTGAAATTATGGGGATTCGTTATGGATTGTCAAGAAACCGAATCTATATTTTCCTGTCTCGATATGTTGATCCTAGTGATATGAAATAAAACTTACAAGATGGACAACACATCGAAGCGACTTGCAAAACAAACATCATGTCAGCTGTGTTTAATGACAGAGAAATAATATATAATAATTATAGAATAAAGCAATTACACAATGTAACACACAATCCCGCGATGATATAACTAATAATCAGAAGAGCAAACTAAGGATGGTTCACGAAATGTAGAAGAGTAACAAATTCTATACCTTGTCAAGGCGTACAGAAGTGTTTCCTGTGTTGCCATTGCCAATTAACACAGCATGGTCGACAACGTTTTTTGTTTTTTTTGTTTTTTGTAAACAACAGTATAACACCCAAATATAATAAAAATAAGTGCAATATTGAATTATCAAGTTTTCACCATCGTTTTAAAGCATTACATATGTAAAACATTAATCCAAAACAATCCCCGGTTTAAGTGGCAATAGCTGAGACATTATGGTTTTTTATATATAGAGGTGATTAAATCTCATCAAAATATTACTTTAAAAACAATTGCATAGACAGAAATAACACTACACAAGGCTGTACCACAACCAATGCGATGATAAAACTAACGGTCAAGGTGTCACCATTATATTGTTGAAAGGTCGCCAGAAAGATGCACACTCTGGGGACCTGGACGCAAAACAGCGGTCATCTTTTTTTGCTTGAAAGTGATTTAATGTACAACGTCGGTATGTGCCGCATATAATATGATTTTAGTATCCTCATTTTGCAGACGGCCGGTACAAATTGACACAGGAAAAAATTATTAAAATTAAAAATCGCAGAAAAAAATTAGAGGGGTGAGAATACGTATATGTTATTGAAAATTGACGTTACTCTTGTACTATGTGTATGTTGATAGTGATTTCAAAATACCAAACAACAAAAATGCAGAAAAAATATAACTAAACTGTTGAACAACTGGTGTACAGTTATTATGTGCGATAGCATGTATTTCGTAATATTAATATTCATAAATAGCGTATAATGTACGAAATATCAAATAAATGTGTGCCATTCTGTGAGCCGGATTTTACTATTAAGTGTCCTGTCGCGTTGTGCTATTTAATCTCATATGAGTCGGCTCTTTACTGAACAGGTATGACATGAAAGCAATGACCATACTAGTTCAGGAATTCAGTGTTTTTTTTAATATATTTATCTACTGAATATGTAATGCACATTACAAAAAATGTAACGTACATTTCAATAATACCTTCTGATTTTATATGATTTCAGAAAAAGAACGATACACTGCTAATTATGCAGCCATTTATTGTTATACCACACGGACGACTGAAAATGAAAACATTGAAGTGGCGCATGAAACCACTAGCAGCGGCATTATGGGTGAAACAAGACAATGAATTTGTAACGTGACAGTTCATAAAATAATTGACCAAGAAATAATAATGCAAACAATACTTATGTCGCTAATTGATCTTCAAAATGTGTAGTGTAGAAACAAAAACAATTAAAAGAAATATTGTAGCCACAATAAAAATTAGAAGAATCAGTGTAGACCCAATGCAAATAGAAAAATTATTGTACACACAATAAAAAAATCAGTGTAGACATAATAAGAATTTGAAGAATCAGTGTAGACACAATATGAATTACAAGAATGATTGTAGACACAATAAGACTTAGCGTAGACACAATAAGAATTACGAGAATGATTGTAGACACAATAAGAATTAGTGTAGACACAATAAGAATTACGAGATTGATTGTAGACACAATAAGAATTAGTGTAGACACAATAAGAATTATGAGAATGATTGTAGACACAATAAGACTTAGCGTAGACACAATAAGAATTACGAGAATGATTGTAGACACAATAAGAATTAGTGTAGACACAATAAGAATTACGAGATTGATTGTAGACACAATAAGAATTAGTGTAGACACAATAAGAATTATGAGAATGATTGTAGACACAATAAGACTTAGTGTAGACACAATAAGAATTACGAGAATGATTGTAGACACAATAAGAATTAGTGTAGACACAATAAGAATTACGAGATTGATTGTAGACACAATAAGAATTAGTGTAGACACAATAAGAATTACGAGAATGATTGTAGACACAATAAGAATTAGTGTAGACACAATAAGAATTATGAGAATGATTGTAGACACAATAAGACTTAGTGTAGACACAATAAGAATTACGAGAATGATTGTAGACACAATAAGAATTAGTGTAGACACAATAAGAATTACGAGATTGATTGTAGACACAATAAGAATTAGTGTAGACACAATAAGAATTACGAGAATGATTGTAGACACAATAAGAATTAGTGTAGACACAATAAGAATTACGAGAATGATTGTAGACACAATAAGAATTAGTGTAGACACACTAAGAATTAAAAGAATCAGTGTAGACACAATAAACATTCGGTTATTATATCACATATATCCCCATACAAGGATTGTATATAAATTACGTGCAGTTGTTTCCTAGGAAACACCATATAGATTGGTTATTGATTGTTTAATCTGTTTGTTGGGGAAAACTGTCAAATTGCTAGCACAATTGATTAGACGACTCAATGAAAACCTGTTTTCTCATTTATAAACCAGTTACTATAATGTAAGACATCCCATAATGTGTTCATCCTATTTCACCGGCAATGGCTAAATCGGGTGTTAATTCGATTTTGAATTTATAGCGTACATTAATTTGGTAATATGAAATGTCACGTATATAAGGATAATATTTCTTAGTGTGTATATAGGATTGTCTGAAAATGACCAGATAGGTTAAAATTGAATCCATCTATCCAAATGTACTAAATTCGTCCATGGTTATATTTATGTAACACAAATAAAGTCTCAGTTCTAAAACTTACCACTT